CATTGGGATTGTACAGTGCTAACAGGTTTCTTTACCCTTATTTAATGCACAATCTACATGTAGTATATGTACATTCACTCGATGATTACGGGTTTCTCACATTTATGATGTATTGCTCTTAATATAATTTTACAATTGTATTTTGAACTAAATTTATAAAGTTCTCTTGATTCTAAAGAAATATGTAATATGCACACAAAACTGAAAGAATCTTAGATCTTAGGAAAATATGACTATAAATTTGTAAAGCTAATATACTTCAATATTTTGTAATACTATTTTATGTAATTTGTACGCATCACGTAATAACTACATTACAGCACCACACATCACGATAGTGTTTCATGTACTTAATATATGATTTTTAAAAAGTATCGTGTACACAGTTGATGTATAATTAATATTATCGCAATATGAAATATTATTTCGCAGCTAATATAATATATATTATTAATTTTAACATCCTCGATTTTGTTTTGCTATTCAGAATCAAAGATGTAAAATGGCACATAAAAGATGGTATGCTACATCATATTCTACCTACTTATAATAGCGATATTAAAGTAACATCATATGATAGTAAAACAGGACACAAACTTCAAACAAGGAGAGTTCATGCACCATTTATAAGTCAAGAAACAGAGTAAGGAACTATATTAAATTATAACTGCTTATCTATTGCAGCTGATCATATTGCTTAAACAGAGTGTTAGTAACTACTATATTTTCATTTCTCTAGATGTGTTCTGGCAGCTCCATATCTTGCATGTTTAAAAGGGGATAGCTCATTAGCTGTACTGTTCTTAATACACTTATTTGATGCAAATGCTGAACCAGAATCAGTTACAATAAATACAATATTTGGTGCTGGTGCACAAGGTCCATATCATTTAGAACCAGTTTTAGGTGAAGAACCTGTTGTATCAATTAGTGCAGATGGTAACCAAAGGAAACGAATACTTGTGGTAAGAGATGCTGTCATTCCTATTCAAAGAGATATAGCTGGTGATGCTATGCTCTATACTGTTTCGGTTGACAATGAGAAAGTGCTTCTGGAAACAACATATAAAGCTGGAGTAAGTACTTCACTTTTCTCTAAAAAATGTATAAAAATCTTATTTATTTACAAGTTATTAACATATTAAATTGTTTAATTTTAGACAACTGAAATTACAGCCACAGAACTTTTAACATCGGCACCCATGCCGAATTTATCCATGACTCTAACACATTCCTCATTGATATCACCAAAAGTCATGTCATCAGTTTGTCCTCGACAAGCAAAAGGCATAACGTGTCGTCACTTATTGTGTTCAGAAGATCATAGTGTCTCACTATTGCAACATAATAAATTAATATGGACTAGGGAAGAAGCACTTGCTAGTATTGTGGCTGTGGACATTATAGAGTTGCCTATGTCTGATAGAGAACAGGCTATTGAAACAGAATTTGATCAGAAAGAAAGTGAGTATAGAATATGTGTTACCTTTCTGTTTATGAAAGTACACTAAAAACTTATGTCAAATAAAATAAATAATATTTTTATTTCATATTACGGAACTCACAAATATAAATAATATTATATATGACGATATTATAAACTAAATAATTATTGGATTTTGTGGTGTATCCTGAGTTATTACATATATTTGAATATGTTTATAAAATGTTAAATTCTACTATGAATGTTAAAAGTACCAAAAAAAATCAAAATTACATTTCATTCTTAACAAAAATTAATTAGATAAGTTATATTAATTGTATTTTTTTGTGAATGGCTGCTGGCAGGTATTGATGTAGACAGTTCATGTAAGTAGTGAAGCAGCGAGGGCTGGTTTGAAAATTACTTTGTTATCCTGCTGTTGATTAGATTTATACGCATGTGTTGATTTTTCTTAGATACTCATGGAAATATAAAGTGAACATTTTTGCAACTAATAAATATTTCCTATCTATTATCTAGGAGAATTTTCATAACATTGCAATTAGTATTTGCATGAAAGTTATAAATATTTTGTAATTTAAAAAGTATTTCTCTTTGAAGGAATTATAACTGAAATGTTTGGATTTGATTAATTAATATGATTTAGTATTATGCATGAGAGAAATTATATAAATGCAAATAATATAAGAACATTATTTGTATTTTCAAGTTTATAGAGTTTTAAAGCAATATTTGATTAGGTCGTTTTAGTACCACATCAACCACGTGCTACTTGTTATCATTTCAGTTCTGCAGCTAAATACGTTATTGTTTTCAAATAACAGTAGTGTGCAAGAGAACTGTTTACAGTGCCTTTATTGTACGAATAATATATAATTTCATAATTTTGTGTTATAATTAGGGGATGTGTTAAGTATGATGATCAGAAGAGTCAGCTCACAATTCAAACAGGCAAAAGCATTTGTCCAATCTATATTGAGTATTCCACCACAACCTTCCAATCAACGTACTGACTTGGTACAAGACAAATTTGGGTTACATAAAATGATTGTACTTGTTACATCAACTGGAAAAGTATGATTTTATTTTATGGCTAGTAATTAATGGATAGTATGTATTAATAAATAGAAATACATTAGCTATTCATTGTAGCTATTAGCTATTAACATACTTTGTTTGTGTAATACACAATGAATAATCTTTTTTTCAGTTATACGGCATCGAAACTAGGAAAGGCGAAATTATATGGCAGCTTAGAGTCCCAAGCATTCGAGGTTTTGTCAAAAGATCTGATGCGATAGTTTTATATGTGCAACGTGGCAGCAGACATTTTCCTTATCCTCCACAGTGTACACTATTAGCAGAAGATAAAGTATATTTTCAATACATTAAAAAGAAAAGATTCCTTTTTGAGATTTAAGATTCCACGATATACTATAAATATTTTAGAAGACAGGAGAGGGAATTCTATACACATTTAATCCAATTACTGGTCAACCGTTAGATGGATTAATAAAATTAGGATATAAAATAAAGCAATCTATGTTGCTTCATATTACAACTGATGATTTCTTACGAATTATTCTTATCCTTGATAATCGGGATAAAGCGTATGTATATCCCGAGGAAGCAACAGCAATGGTAGCATCGCTTGGTAAAAACATATATATGTTCACCGCTGATCAAACAACAGGTGTATTATCTGGATTTTCTCTTTCATATAGTACATCTGAGGTACATATACGAAAACCTATATAAATTATGTAATATGTCAAAATATTTGTTTAAATTTAATTTATTGTGCAGGAACTTATCGCTCATAAGGTATGGGAGCTATTACTTTCACCGAGAAACCAAAGAATAACACACGTTGTATCGAAAAATCCAATAGAACGTGTTCACTCTCAAGGCAGAGTTTTGAGTGATAGATCTGTTCTGTACAAATATATTAATCCTAATTTGGTTGCCATAGTAACTGAAGGTGTTGGATATACCAATAAAAGTAAGTTCACTCATAACATAACAAAATTATTACATTTAACCCTCACACGCTGAATCGTTTATGACCGCGAGCGGCGGACTCAGGGTCCATGCTGGGCTAAGTTTGGATTTCATTACTTAATATTTGAATATATAGGGTTTTATGGATACATTTATTTGTAAATTATATATTATTCTTTATTATTAATGCATAAAATACTATTTTTTTACTGTATGTGTATTGCATACATATTCATATCTGGCAGTCTTCGTATTTCTGTGTATATTTATTATCGTTACTGATGTATAGGCTGTATCTTCCACGTTTCCAATGACTGGTGCAAGATTCCCTAATTCTACGGAATTTTCGGTCGTAGCTTCAATAGCATGTACAACATGAAGTTGAACTGTTTCCGTATTTTCAAATGTAGCATCACGTTGGTTTATATCTTTACGCGACACACAACGACTGTTGTCTCACGGAGTGTGACTTTGAATAAGAGTAATAAGTTAACCGCGATGCTAACCACAACTACATTTCGCGATATAGGTAAACATAAACATTGTATGAGTCCGTCAAGAAAAAGTTAAAATACATTCAACATATAACAAAAAGATTATAGTTAAAGTACTAGTGTAATAAATCGTACCGAATGGCCCAGGTACGCAAAGCTCTTTCCATGACCCGCGTGGTCATAAAACAACATTGACTGTAGATTGACTAACTCCTGGACCCGTTTTTCCTAAAAATCGTCAGTTACACTGATTTAACCCTTTCGGTACAAGCGCCGGATATATCCGGCATCCATCTAGTCACCTGTGTGGCCGAGCGCCGGATATATCCGGCATCCATCTGATGACCAATATGGACGAGTGCCGAATACATATGATATCCATGTAAGATGTATGAAAGATTTAGAAACGGATTAAGCACAGTCATTACTTAACGCTTGAGAAAATCTTCGTACAAAAGTGGACTGACCCTGCGTTATGTGCGCATTTTCGGCGTGGCACCCCGTACAGTGGGAGTGTCACGGCGGACAACGCGCTCATACCGAAAGGGTTAATAGTGTATCATTTCCGCTCCTCTATTCCTTACCTCTCATCCTCCCTTCGCGAAGTCAAGGTTTATCAGAACCAGGACTGAGACTTCATTCCGATCGAATATTCACGTAAAAACTTGCGATTAATTATGAACATTAATACATTTTTACCATTAATTTATGTTTTACAGATACGCTTAATCTATATTTATTGGATGCAGTGTCCGGAGCAATGATATTTTCTATTATACACAAAAGAGTGCGTGGTCCAGCCCACGTTGTACATTCAGAAAATTGGATAGTATATAGTTATTTTAATGAAAAAAGTCGTAGGACCGAGATTGCTAGTCTAGAACTTTATGAAGGAGAACAGCAGAGCAATACCACAGGTAAAACTTTTTAAAACTGTTAATACATTCGTTTTAATTCATTGACAAAATTATTCACATATCTTTTCAGTGTTCTCGTCTTTATCTACCACTCAATTGCCGATTGTGGAAAGGCAGGCTTTCATTTTCCCTGCAGCAATAGAATCAATGCGGGAGACTATCACAGAGAAGGGTATTACAAGCAAGCATATTATAGGTGAAATATTTATGTATTATTTGTCAAAACTTTGAATGGAAATACAATATATATATATATTATAAATTATATTTCACAGTGGCCCTTGCCAATGGTGGTGTATTAGAGTTACCATGGAAGATGGTGGATCCACGACGGCCTATTAATCCAGAAATACGCGAAGAAGGTGTAATACCATATATGCCAGAGATACCCATTCAAATGGACGCAATAATTAATTATAATCAAAGCGTGTTTAGGGTGTCGGGTGTTCACACTAGTCCTAGTGGCCTTGAAAGTACTTGCTTAGTTTTTGTACATGGTCTTGGTAAGTATTTCATTAGTATATTTATATTTTATTATGCTATTAAGTTAATGCAAATATAATATGGCCGATTTCTAATTGAAATTGTCTCAAATTGAACTTTACTAACCGAAATAAGAACCATTATTATCAGATAAGGTAAACAATAAATAAGCATTAAGATGACATGTGACAAGTGATACAAACAATAAGATTTATTAGAATAATGATTTGTAAAATATGAAGTTAAAGAATTCTGCTATTATTTTTGCACTAACTTAGTAATATATGAATAATGATATAACGAATAATATGATGATTAATGAATAATATGTTACAATTAATTATACATATTATATAATTATTACAGACTTATTCTATACGCGCGTGGCACCATCTAAAACGTTTGATGTTCTTAAAGAAGATTTCGATTATTACCTAATTATGATAGTGTTAGCAGGGCTCTTAATTTCATCATATGTTACAAAGAAGTTAGCTTCACAGAAAGCGCAGAAGCAAGCATGGAAATGATGATTCATTTTTCTTGAAAAATTAGTGCATAACATTCTTAAGTATCCGTTTCTTGAAGGTAAAACATTTTGCTAATGATAATTTGTAAAGAAAAGATACTGTTTTATAAAAAGATAATGTTACTGCAAAAGTAAATGTTAATAGTTTATTATATTACCTGAAATATCGAAACGTATTATATACATATATTATTTGTTTGTTTATTTTTATTGATGCAGAACACACACTCTACAGCGATAACATATATCTGAATATTCGAGACAAAGTGTACTAGTCATTGTATGAAAAGTGGACCATGATCACTAATTAGATCACTAAAATAACTGACAACATGCTCAAGCTATAATTAATTTTTCGTTCAAAATACAGTGCTCTCTCGAAAATTTCTAATAATAATGTTTGTTTTATTATAAGTACAAATGTTATTATTACGACTATATTTTTCTGGTGGAAAATAAGATCATGTTTGACTTTATTTAAAATGACAAATAAGGGGCTTTTTTGCGTAATTCCCATAGATACCAAGATAATAAGTTTAAAATTTTCGAGAGACAACTGTATATACATAGTTACAGATTTCTTTATTATGCGAACACTGTACAGTGACAAATTTCAAATCATCAAATATCAAACTAAAATGAAATATATTGTGATTTTTGCAAAAAGATTTTATTTTTCGACACAGCATAAGACATTATTTCTTCTTTTAATTGCTCATAAATATGATAAGATATACCAGTAAAAATTTTACATAGTCTAAGAGCTACGTTCGTCGTTATTAGCAGATTTTATGTTATATCGAGCATCTAGATTTTCTATTTGTTTGAAACTTTCAGCACTACTCCTGATAGTCATCTTAAACGTATTTGTTCTACGTATTAAGAGAATCGAGTTTCTCCGAGTGCAATGTTATTAGTATTAATTTAAAATCTCCCACATTTCTATAAATGCTTTGTCAGCTGCTGCTAAAGAAAAGCCATATTTTCAAATATCCTATTTAATTTCTTTCAAATTATTATATAGATAATTTTTAACTTGACTGATAAATTCAAAATAAGCAAATCTGGAGGCAAAAATATATTGTCAATTAATGTAGATACATTTAGGCAATTTACTTCAATAACACACAACAACACTAATTTATCACTTGTAACAATGTTTTATCACCCTAGTAATGCTAGTATTTCCTTTTGTTTTTTTTCTGTTAGATGAGGATCGCAGACTGTGTGTAAGTTTGGGTCTGGAATATAAATATTTTAAACATTACGATTGCAGCAATAGTGTTTTAAAAATAACACTCTTCTTGCATCAAATGGTATTGCTACAATCTATGTTTCTTTCTATTTTAATGTGCATGC